CTCCTACCCTTGCAGGCCCGGACCCCCCTCTGTTGACCTGCACCCCCCCCCCTCCGGGACCCCCACTGCCAACCTGATACTGAAGATCTGACCAGAGGGTTGGCACCGGCGCCGCCCACTCCACCACCTCGAAGCCCATCGCCTCAGCCACGACCCGCACCGTCGTGCTCTTGCCGCAGCCGGTGGGGCCTGGAGCGCCAGCGGGACGGGCAGCTGCGGTGAGCCCGGCGCTGACGGCGCCGCAGCCGGGTGACCCCAGACCGCCGGCGGGCGCCGCACAGCGACGCTGCTTCCAGAACAACGGCCGAGTGCGGCGCGCGCGATGCACACACCTTGCACGACACCCCGAGAGCCCGGCCCCTCCACTCCGCCGCTGCCGCGGCCCACCTGTGACGAGCAGCACCCATGCGCGCGTGCCGCGGCTGCGGTACGCCTGGTAACCCTCCAGCCACGCCTTGACTTCCTGCACCTTCTTAGCGTGTACCGCCAGCTCCTCCGGGACCTTGGGCGCGTGGCTGTCCACCCACATCCCGCCGGCGGCTGCGGGGCGGGCAGGCGGGGAAGCAGCACGGACAAGTTGATCTGGGTGGGACGCATTTGGAGCCGAAAGCACAGTGGCTGTACGGGCGGGTTTGCATTGCCTCTATACACTAGAAGCTCCCCTCATGCTGGGGCAGCCGGCAGCCAGAGACGGACTGGTATGGGCGTCGCCGTTGCAGGCGTGCTGCCCCATGGTCACTCCTTGTCACCTGGCGTCGGTGCTGCGAGCCCCGAGGGCGATGGGGGCAACTGCTGCTGCTGCTGCTGCTGCTGCTGCTGCTGCTGCGGCTGCTGCTGAGACGCCGTCGCCGACCCTGGCAGCGCATCGCCGCCGCCCTGTGAGGACGGCGGCGACAGCAGCAGCGACGCCAGGCTCCTGCTCTGCGGCTGCGGGGTGGGGCGAACACGCGGCGGTGCGATTAGATGGGTGCATCTCCGTTGCTCGTTGCGACCCGCCATGGAGAACGCATGCAGGTGCGGCCACGCCTGTGAACTAGACTCATCACCTGGAAGTTGAGCTTGAGCTGCTTAGTGCCGCCTGCTGCGGCGCCGCTGCTTCCGCTGCCGGGCCTGCGCCTCGCCGACGCGCCGCTCCTCTTGCCGGACGCCGCGACGCCCTTGCCGCCTCCGCCGCCTCTTGGGGCCGTGCCCTGCGTCGGCCGCGCAGCGGCCTGGCCTGGGGGTGGCCGCTTCTTAGGAGCAGGAATCACCTCGTCCTCTGAGGAGGATTCAATCAGGACCACGTCCTCTGAGGCACAGATCCCGGCATTGAAGGCACCTCCGTCTTTGCTGCGTTTGCCGCCGCTGCCATCGCTGCCGCGAGCACGCTTTGGTGGCGCTGGCATGCTGTATTAGGGCAAGTTTGTGCAAGTTGGCTAATGGGGCATATTGACGGCTATGCTGCTGCGCAGACATCCGCGCATGCAGCGCAGCAGCAGCAGCACACGCACATGCCGCAACGCCGTGCTTCAAAAGCCGCTGCGATTTGACGTGTCAGCTTAATGAGAAGGCTGTTGCAATCATCGTCAAGATCTTCTTATTCTACGTACAGCGACAAAACCACTTTGCGCGGGATTTAGATCGACACAGATCACCCTCCACAGCGAAACCAACAGCTCAGGTCGAGGTATGACGGGAACTGCAGATGCAAATGCGCACCCGCACCCCTGACAGACCCTCATTCGTCGGTCGTCGTAATCACCAGCTGCTCACCGCGCCGACAGGTGTCACTGGTCAGCATCACGCCTAGTACAGTACACCAATCCGCCCAAGTTTAGGTCAAGCTCGCTGAGTAACAGGGGCCCATGCAATTGTTGAGCCGGTGAGCAGCATGCACACACCTGGCCCGCGGGGCTGGCGTGCACAACAGCAGGGCCAGTTCTGTAACAGAACCCGTCTGCCAGTGATATCAGTCAACCTCGATCTTCAGGCGTGGCTGCACATCAGCTGGCGGCCTGTTGTCAGTCAGGAGATCAGGGGGACCATGCTTTTTAGCAGCCACCTGAAAGTCCAAACACTGCATTCATGATGTTGCCAGGCCCAATAGTACAGCACACCGCCTAACTGACGCATCTTGTTGCCATGCCAAGTGCGCAAGTACAACCCATCGAAACATTGTTTCTATCATGTACATGGCAGTCTGCCAATATGGTGCGCAAGCCAAGCTTGACGCGATGGGTGTTAGCAGTGCACAGCCATAGGGTCACTGCATCTAGAAAAGACAAAGGGATCATCATAGACAGAACAGGTGTCCTGGAAGGTTTTGCAACGGCACTCACAGGAAGGAGATGGCAAGCCAACTAGCTGACAATCAAAGCAAACTTCCAGCAAGCTCCCTCAACTGGCTACTCCCGTCCGACCCGGCACCTTGCCGTACCTCCTCCTCCTCCGCTGCCCGTTCAAGGGCATCCCGCAGCGCGCCGCGCGCCTCTGCTCCCGCCGCCAGACCCGCCTGCACTGCCAGCTCAGCCGTGCGCAGCAGCTGCGCGTTCTCGCCGGCCCCGAGCCCCTCCGCCGATAGCCGCTCGCACAGCGCCGCCAAGGGCTTAGCCAGCCGCGCCGCATCAGACGCCAGGGTCGCCTCGCCGCCGCCGCCACCGCCACTGTCGCCGCCGTCCCCCGCCGCGTGGAGCCGCTGGGAGTGCTCCCACGAGCGCTGCGCCGCCTCGAGCGCGGCCGGCAGCTGCCCGGTAGCCAGCCGCCCCATGCACACGTAGTACCAGATGGCTGAGTCAGACACGCCCGCCTTGGACACCGCCTTGTGCAGCAGCTCCAGCCCGCGCCCGACATGCGCGAGCTTGGCGCTGCTGATGGCGGCCGCCGTCCGCGCGTCGCCTCTGCTGCCGCTCGCGCTGCCCGCGGATGGAATGGACGCCGCATTCAGGTGCGCCACCGCCGCCGCCACGAACTCGGCGCCCGCCTCTGCCGCGGCCCCGCCGCCTGCGCCGCTGCTGCTGCTCTTCTCCTCTTTCCCGCCCGCCCGCGACAAGAGCAGGTCCCCAGCCTTCTCGTGCGCCTCCGCCGCCGTCCCCCACTGCCCCAGCCGCCCCGCGGCCGCGCCGAGCTGCCGCCACGCGCCGGCGTCGGCGGGCGCGAGCGCCGTGAGGCGCTTCAGGCAGGCGGCGGCCGCCGCGTACTGCCCGCGGGACAGGGTGTCTGCCGCAAGGTACCTGACAAAGGCAACGTCCTCCGACGCGTCAGCCGCGCCCTCCACCTGGCGCCTCTCCAGCTCGGACTTGGCTGCGGGGGGCGTGAGGAGTGGCCGGCGCGTGTGGCTTGTGAGTGGAGAGCTAAGGTGATGTGAAGGGGCCAGCCTGGCTGGCCGTGGAGGAGCGTGTGGACTGAAGCGAGGGCAGGCCAGAATGAGCGGTGGGAAGGCAAAGATACGGCAGCGGCACGCAGGCCGATGCCTGAGCAGCCCCTCCGTCTATGCGACAGAAACACCCCCAGTTCCTTCGTCTCGCCTCCCCGCCGCCAGCGCCCCCACCTGTTGCGTGCTCCGCGCCCCGCGTGTGGACCGCCACCATCGGCAGCCCCAGCGCCGCCGCGACCTTGGGCCGCCCGAGGGCGGCCTGCAGCCCGAGGTTAAAGGCGCCGTTGGTCAGCCAGTACAGCACGGTGGCGTGCGGCACCACCAGGGCGGCCAGGAAGAGGGGGAGGGTCAGGAACTCCAGCGCCGCGCGGGCGCGGGGGCTGTCGGCTGCGAGCGGACGAGGTCGTGGGGGGACGGTTTGGGGTGGGGGCTTTCAGGGGGCGGCCACACAAGGGGGAGGGCAGCTGGACGCGTGGGTGTGGGCCGGGACTTGCAGGTGTTGTGTACGTTGGAGGGGTGTTTTGGCGCCGTGGGCACTGCCTTGCGCGCGCCTGGTCATCACCATTCTTTCGCACCACTCCTAAAACCTTGGCTCTGCATGCAGGCACGGGGCGCATGCAACCCTGCCATGTTGGGATGCCGAGCCCCCATGACACCCACCCACTGATGTGTACTCCACCGTGCGCACATAGCACCCGAATATCGCCAGCGGCAGCAGCGCGCCCGCGACGCCAAAAGGCGTCTCCCACGTGCCCCACTCCACTGCCGGCCGGGTCATGTCTGCAAACCAGGCCAGGCCCTCGCTGTCAAGGCCGGGCCACATCGCCGAGCTCATTTGGCGCAGGGCCGCAGACATGCCCAGGAACAGATTCACCTGTCACGAGGGGTGAATGGCCCAGGCGAAATGGACGAGAGGGCAGGTGCGGGGAGGGGGCAGGGCAGCCGCGGCCACCCGCACTGGCCGTTAGGCGGGCTATGACACAGCAGAGCAGCTGGCGCGGCGCTCTCTCCCTGCTGACCGCTGCAACAGGCCGCCACACCTGCACCAGGGCGTTGACGCTGTACCACCATGTCGTGGGTGTGCCATGCTGCTTGCGCATGTACATGAGGTACTGCTTGGTCAGTTGGTTGCGGGTAACTGCCTTGCCGCCGCGGGCCCCGGCACCGCCACCGCCGCCGCCGCTAGATGGGGCGCTGCCGGCGGCAGCTGCGGCCTGCTGCTGCTCCTGCTGCATGCGCTGCCACAGCACGCGTGACGCCGCGCTGGCCTTGGGTATGAGCGCAAAGTTGACCGTCGCCGCGCGAGCTTTGACCGTCAGAGGCAGCAGCGCTGTTCGTAGGGCGAGGGTCGTCAATGGGATGCTGGCCCACCAGGGCAAGCCGGTGGCCGCGTGCATCAGCTCCCAGCATTGCGTGCCAATCATCACAGGGTTGAGGCCGCTCGCGCCCAACGTCTCGATCGGGGCAAACGCGGCGACAGCGGCGTCCAGCGTCACGTCGCCCACAGGACCAGCAGGGGCGAACGGTGCCACTGAGGCATGGAGGTGTCTCTTTTGCGACTGCCATTCGACAGCGCCTGACAGCGCTCTCAAAAGGCCGGCTTCGACAAACCTGTGGCCGTAACCACAAGATCAGGGTCACTGTCCAGCGCAGGCCTGCGTATATGCGCCTTGAGACATTGAACCAATGACTCACCTGCCAGATGCCGGCAGGCGACCCGCGGCCAGCGGCAGCATCCCGTTGTCCCCGATCTACGATAAGTCAAGGTATCAGGCTATAAAATGAGGGATGTGAAATGAAGGTTCCGCAAGAAATTTGAATGTTGCTGTGTCCGTTTATGGCGCAACACGCGTGTGACTGCATGCTGCTTGCATGTTGGTGACGACACCCGCACACACACAAACAGCATCGCCAGAGGCGAGGCCCTTGCTTGACAATGGATGGACGGGCGCTGAAACCCCACGCTTACAGCAAGCAGCGCACATCCAACTGTGCCTGCGGATGCTCGGACCTACTGCCTGTCTGTGTGTCGAATCGCACTGACTTGCTGGCTGGCCTGTGGTGCAGCTTGCCTTGCGATTCGAGCCCGGCTGTGCTTGAGTGGAGCTTGCTTCATCGTCCACATCCACATTCCAGCCGATGGAGAACGTTGCGCATCTGAGGGTCGTCCCAGAAGGCGGGTTCCACTCAACCAAGCAGTCCACGAACGGTTTTGGCCCAGCAGGTGATGCCCGCGGCACCTGCAGCTTTCTCACCTCACATCTGACTTCAAGATGTTGAAGAAGACTTTCAAACAACATCACAACAAGCTCTGCCCTCTTTGAGACTGTGCGTTGCCGATGTGCGAGCTTCACCGGAAGCGCAAGCTGGGGTGCCGACTGGCTGGTGTGTAGGAAGCAGTGCGCGTCAGGATGGGTACTGACATGATAAATCACGCTTTCCATACACGTTTGTTATGCCCACAGCTCTAGCGAAGCATTGCAGAAGGTGGTTGGCTGGCGGATGCACTCGCTGCCCAAAAGATCTTCACTTTGAAGCTATTGAAGTCGTATAGGTAGCATAATCCAGGGACTTAAACATGAATAGGCCCCGTGTACGACCAGGCGGCCGCGGCAAAAGAAAAAACTGATGTGCCACCGCCCTCCCGGGTCGAAGTGCAGTTCAGGGTTTACATGAATGTTATTGTAAAGGATTCGGAAGGAGCCCTCGGCGGCAGCGCTGCGCGCTAGGGGCTGTTGCTGCAGGTGAGCGGCGTGGCAGGTGCGCGCTGCAGCGCCGCCCACAAGCAGGAAAAGCACTCTGGTGCAACAGTGGGGTACAACATGAGTCTGAGTGGTCCTTGAAGTGAGAACTCTGCATGAACGCGACATCTTTTGCGCCGTTCAAGCACCGCCCTCAAGTAGTCATCGGCGCATGCGCACGCGACAACACAGGGGCCGGCTCGCGGCAGCAGCGGTCGATGGCGTCGGATGGCGCATATCACCAGCTGCCTGCAGCCACGACGGCGCTTGATGTGCGGATTCACGCGGCTCTCAATCTCGGGCGCCCCTTGTCGGCCGTACGCGTCGAGGCGCGCGTTGGCGCAAGCTGCCAAGTCAGCGCATCGGTGTCAGCCGAGGCCGGTGTTGCCTGCTTCAACGCGTGGGGACGGTTGCCTGTGCCGGATCTGGAATGCGCAGAATCACTTCAGCTGCAGGCAAGCGTCAGGCTGTTGCGAGGACGGGCGGGTGGCCGAGCGGTTGCTAGGGTTGAGGCAAACGAGTGCGCTGTTGAATGCGTTGTGAGCCACTTCACTTGCAACATGCCCATGCCCAATCTGCGCACACTCTGCCTGAACAGTGTGCAGCGTGTTCATAAGCACTTCAGGTCTTGACAGCCTGCCGGCTCCACAACACAACAGTACACGCGCACTCACACACACGCACGCATTCACATGAGCGCATGCACTTGAGCAGGCAAGTAGATGTGCGCACATGCTCACATGCGCGCACACACATGCACACGCACATGCCCACATGCACACATGCACATTTCATCCTATATCAAACATGCCCAGGTTCGAGAGCGCCTGCCGACGCTGCTGGGCGTGGTGCGCATGCGCAACCTGTACGGCGCCCTCAGCCTGGGGCAGCTGGATCCAGAGGCCGGCTGGGTGGAGCGGCGGGTGATGCTTGAGCCGCGCGGGCTGCAGCTTGGCGAGCGGGCCGCGGCGCAGGAGGAGGAACAGCAGGAGGTGGAGGCAGCGGATGACTGGGAGAGCCCTGCCAGCTGGGAGGTGGCGGTGTCACCAGAGGTACGTGCGGCCACGTGCAGCAAAGTCAGCCTTGCTGTGGGATGTGTGCGCATAATCTGTCCAGGTGCTCCTGGGCACTGCTGTCGGTTCAAGCAGGCGAATTGCTGCTCGCAGCCGTTGAATTGCCAGCAATGTGGCCCGAACCACCACGTCGCGCATGCATACAGCATGCCAACACTGCGTCGCCGTGCTCCCCCGACTTGTCCATCCGGTTCAACAGCACGACGCCGCCGACGGCGTGCGGGCGCCCTCGCCGCCTGCGTCATCGCTGCAACGGGCCAAGGAGTACGTTGAGTCCCTGCAGTTGGGAGGCCAGCAGCCCTTTCTCATCCTGGAGATCCGGCGGGTGCACTTGGCCCATGAGACGACGCGCGGCAGCAGCGGCGGGCGCCGTGCTGGCGGCGCTGCGAGCGCACGCGGCGCTGGGGCCGACGCAGCCGTGCTGCCGGAGATGCCTCTGGAGCCGCCTCTGCAGGCGGCCGCGCAGATCTATGCGCATGGCGGTTTTCTGGGGGCGGCGTACAGCATGGCGTCAGATCCTATCTGGGCAAAGGTGGGTTTGGCGGAGACAGCGGTCATTGCATTGCAGGATAGTACCGCTTTGGCTGGGGCGTCACTGCAGGAATCCCAGTTTCCAAAATGGGCACCATGCTGACAACATCTGCCGGCCTTGTGTAGATAACGTGCGCTGACCTTTGTGCCTTGCGTGAATTATGCGAACCCTCGAACGTCCAGGTGCTCGCCGACCTCGATCCGCGGGCCGCACGCGACGTGTCAGCGCTGCTGCAGGCCGCGCGGCTGCACCGACAACCGCGGCTCGGGCCAATCATGGTGCTGCTGGATAACTCGCCGGTGCTTGCCGCGTATGGCATGGTTCGCAGCGGCTGCTGCGACCAGCTGCGCGGCCCGCCTCGCATCGTGCGCGCCCGCACCAGCGGTGGCGGGAAGTCGTCGCTGCACGTGGGGCACGCGGCAGCAGCGGCGGCGGCAGCGGTGCCGTCCGTGCCGGCGGGGCCGCGGCGGCCGTCGCCGTTCCAGCAGGCGCAGCAGCAGCAGGTCATGCTCATGTTGGGGAGCGGGGACGCGGCGGCTCGGGTGGGGGCGGTTGCGCCAGACGCAGACGGCGCGTCCGTCGCGCGCGCGCTGGAGATGCTGTACTATGGCGACCAGTCGGGCCTGGAGTGGCAGAGCGGGGAGATCCCGCAGCACCTGCTGCCAGAGGACTGCTTTGGCGGCGGTCTGCGACTCAGCGGGGCCGGCCGCGGCGGCGGCCCGCTCGGCACGCTGGGGCCGCTGGGCGTGCCGTCGCTGCCGCAGATGGTCCTTAAGGGCACGCTCAGCGCTCCATGTGGCGTCGACCCCAGCGGGCCTCGCCGGCTGCAGCGGCCGACGATGCGGACGATCGCGGCGCGGCACCTGCCGCTGCTGAGCGCGCGGTCGCAGCGCAACAGCACCAGCGGGGACTCCATCAAAAGCTATGACGGGTCAAAGGCCAACGGCGCCATGCGATGGGGCGACGTGGCGGCGCTGCGGTCAAAGGTGAGGTTTGCGCCCGCCGCAGCATGCCATCAGCAAGTGCTACACATGCGCACAGCTGCATGACCCGACCTGGTGTTATGCACAGCAACAGCTTAGCGCATGGCAGCGGCCACATGCTCGCAGCGGCCACATGCGTGGGCAGCAGCCCCATGCATGCGGCCGTTGCCGCTCATGCAGCCGCCCCATGCTTGGGCTGTGCCCCCACGCATGGCAGTGGACATGTTTGTGCCGCAGCGCAGTGCATGGCAGACACCAGATGCCATGCGCCATCGCGTCTTGGCATGACGCCAGCTAGTTGCGGTCGGCAAACCGTGCTTCTCTGAATGCAATGCTATGCCGACGCCCATGCGGCAATGCTAGGCCGAGGACGGCGGGAAGCACAGGCTGCTGGACGCCATGCTGAAGCGCAGCAATGACTTTGGCTACTCCCCAGTGGCTGTCGAGTGGGACATCTGGGTCAGCCCCAGGAAGCCGTGGGACCTGGCACGCGCGCGAATCGTGAGCCGCGAGCGGGGGGCCTTGGACAGAGGGGGCCGCGCGGTGGCTGGGTCGCCCACCAATCAGCTCTGGCAATGCTGCACTGCGCGGCGGACGGCGGTCGTGGCCGTGCCACTGGCTCGTTGACTTCTCCCTCAAAACCCCTGTCTGAGTTGCGTTCACTGCCCGTGCGGCTGCCGCACCCCCAGGACCACGGCACTGTTGGGCAGTTGGTGGTCCAGGCTGTCACTTCGGGTGTCGGCCTCAAGCGCGTGGCCAAGCGCCTGGGAGAGGCCCAAATCGAGCGCCGCGGCGTGTCGCCCGCCGCGTGGCTGGGGCTGTTTGGGCGCGCCATCAACATGGGCGCGGGATGCCCCAAGGGGCTGGAGCTTGGGATGCCCAGCGAGAAGCTGCCATGGTACTGGCTGGTAGCTGTTGAGCAGCTGCTTGTCCAAGGCCTGCCGCCGGGGTGAGCGGGAAAGATGCATGAAAGGAACGGCAATGGGGAAGGCCCTTGTCCGGTTGCTTGGCGGCTGCATGGCTGTGCGATTTGTTGCCTGTCCTGAACTGTTCACGTATGCATAATCACTCAACCCCTGTTGTGCTGGGGTCAAACCTCCTCCGCCAACAGGACCATCTACAACGTGCGGATGGAGGTGGTCAATTCATCCCTCAACGTGCCAGCCAAGCAGCTGGCGAACCTGGAGTCAAAGGCAGGCAACGGCGTGCTGTCCTGGACCTCCGACGACTTCAGCGCCGCCGCCCTCGCGCCCGGCGCCGCCTCGCCGCCGCCGCCCCCGCAGGTGCGCCCCGGCGGCGCCGGCGCGCCGCCGCAGCCGCCGCTCCACGCGTCTGCGACGCGGCGGG